AACAAGCCGTGTAGGACAGAGAGTGATTACACATACTATACAGAGATGCTGTATGAGAAACCAATGTGAGTTTGGAAGATTGAACAATGTAAATCTATTCTAGTAGACCTCAACAATGGAATTATGATGAGTAGAAATGGCCATGACATGGGACCTTTAAAGGACATCAGGATAGGTGTCTTTATGGTTTTGATTGTCTGCATTGTGAAGTTTACAGTTATTATAGGAGGCTCAACTTACAAATGTGCAATTAAGACAAGATATAATTGCTAAAAATCAGCAGAAAATGTCCGTTCTGAGGCTGAGATGTCTGTGTTCTCCTCCCCAGGATGAAGGAGGTGTCCTGCTTGATGGAGAAGCAGCACACCCTCCTGAAGCTCATCATCCAGAAGATGGAGATCACGACGGAGGAGAGCGAGGTGGACGGGCCGGCTAACGTCCGAGGAAACGTTTGGCCGAGCGCAACGAAGGCCAAACCTCACGCTCGAGGAATGTCTCGCTGGGTCCCGCTGATGAAGGCCCTCGAGGGAAAAAAGACCTGAGATATAAAAAGTGTCTTCATAGAAAACGAAGCTAGACGAGTTTACAGTGCGAAGAATCACTCTGTAGACGTATAAAGGGCATTATTATGTTATTCAATATATCAAAACTCATATCTATAATGTCGTTTTAATTATAAGCTTTTAACTGCCTTAAATACTGTGTGGCTTCATACTGTAGCATGCAATGTGAATGTTGTCTGTGGGCTGATAAACAAATGCTCAAACTCAATTTACGGTGAAAATTCATCATCATTTTTGGGACGCAGACAGAATTTTAAGATGACTTGATATTTAATAATTGTATGTGTTTCAATTGGCTTAAACTTTCTCAAAGGTGAGTAAAAGATGGACTGTTTACTTTTGAGTTGAATTATAAGCTATTAACTACCTTAAATATTGTGAGTTTCATACTGTAGGACATATATCACTTGTGTTCTTGTGATAAACAAATACTTAAAGTTATTTATGTGAAAAATGTCTTCTTTTATGATGATTGTTGAGACAGGTGGATACATCACTGTGGCATGTTAGATTTAACTGGAATTTATAGGAAATTCAGAGCGACATTTGGTATTTTCTCTTATGAAATATAAACCAGAGACAGATAGATAGATAATAACTGAATACAATTAAAATCATTAAAATGAGTTGTTAAAAGTGAGTGAAATAAGACAGGATGGACTGTTTACTTTGAGTTCTCAACATGTATTTGTGCATCATGTGTAACCTGTGAAGATGATATAAAATATATGACTTTAATTCCCGACTCTTTTGTACAATTGTTTGAAAATCTATGCTCTTGTGATGCTTCAATGCACGACTTAAACACAGAAATGCTTCCTAATCGTCTCCGCTTGAGCGTCGTTGCTTCAGGTTTGATGTCGGGATCACAGGTGCATTGTGGGAAAACAGAGCGAGGCGTGTGACATGAGCTTGCACCTGTCGCTCTGCTGCAGAGGTCGTGACCCCTGAGAGTCTCCGCTGATGGACGAATGTTAGCGGACCCTTTAAACTACTTGAAGTGATTTTTATCCCTGGGTTTCATTATTTCCAGGGTCAGAGCAACAGCCATCAATTACACAGCGACGTTTGGGACACATGTACAGTACTCAACCCACAGAATGACTCATGAGACTAACGGTGCCTACACAGCGACGTTTGGGACACATGTACAGTACTCTACCCACAGAATGACTCATGAGACTAACGGTGCTTACACACGGGACGTTTGGGACACATGTACAGTACTCTACCCACAGAATGACTCATGAGACTAACGGTGCCTACACAGCGACGTTTGGGACACATGTACAGTACTCACCCCCAGAATGACTCATGAGACTAACGGTGCCTACACACGGGACGTTTGGGACACATGTACAGTACTCACCCTCAGAATGACTCATGAGACTAACGGTGCCTACACACGGGATGTTTGGGACACATGTACAGTACTCTACCCCCAGAATGACTCATGAGACTAACGGTGCCTACACACGGGACGTTTGGGACACATGTACAGTACTCTACCCTCAGAAGGGCTCATGAGACTAACGGTGCCTACACACGGGACGTTTGGGACACATGTACAGTACTCACCCTCAGAAGGGCTCATGAGACTAACGGTGCCTACACACGGGACGTTTGGGACACATGTACAGTACTCTACCCTCAGAAGGGCTCATGAGACTAACGGTGCCTACACACGGGACGTTTGGGACACATGTACTCTACCCTCAGAAGGGCTCATGAGACTGAGTGAGACCTCTGTTCTTCTTTTTCAAATGAACTGAACAGGCTTCAGATGAGGGAGAAATGTTTTACAATTTGCCTTGTTGTAGTCAGATGAGATTAGCATTTAGCATTAGCCTTATTGAAGTTGATCATTTGCTTTTGGAAAGAGGGTTAGGGTTGACGTCAGGTCTTTACGGGAAAATGCATTGAAGAGCGGGATTATGGGAAGCCTGGGAATGTGCCTTCGGATTAAGGAGCATTCTTGATTTGGGGAAAAGGGACATTTGAGCAGAGGAACACTTTTAAACCACTGCGTTTTAACACCGAAGATGTGTCCAGTCCTCCTTTAGATAACAAGGAAATCCAAAAGTAAAACAAAGTCATTCTTTCTGACTCATTATTGCTAATTAGTTTATGAATTGTATGGGTTTTTCTCACCTTCCGAGTTATTTCTTAGTTTTTATTGGACTGTTGTCTCGTAACTAGTTTGTTTTTCTGCTCACTTTGTTCCCTTCTTGTTGTCGTATATATTTCTGTTGTTTTTGTGCAAATCATTTTAGCTTTTTTCAGTGCGTTTTGTTATTGTTTTTCTCCTTAATTAAAGGCGGCTCGCTGTCTCTTAACCTCTCCTGTCCGATTCCTTTGGTCGCTATTATCTGGATTTGATGCAGTCATGAGAAAAAAATGAATAATACAAATCGGGAGACCCTTATAAACACAGCTTTGGATCGACTGAAGGAATCAGCAATAAGGCAGTGTTAGAGCCAGGATGTTGTGATAATTTACTCACTATCGGGTGAAGTGTTCGGAAGATTTTCACTGTTTCTCTCCAGTGATCCAGTCCAAAATGCAGCGTGCCTCTCAGCTGCAGTTCGGTAACTCTTGGCAGACTCTTGCTATCGTCATAAAACAAAGTCACACACATTATGTGGAATAAAAGCTCGCAGGGACTCTGGCCTTTTCTGGGAATATCTTGAGAGACTAAGTGCTGTATGACACACAACTTCTTCATTTGGAGAAAAGCTCCTACAAAAGCTTCACTTGCATTTCTGAATATATTGCACAGTGTGTTTTAGACTAAGATGTTTGCATAGCTCACACGAAACAGCAGATATTTGAAGAGTTTGGGACAAGAAAAAAACTTCTTGCATGCTCTATCTCTGCAAAAATCTTCACTCTCTTGATCCCAAAGATATTGAAGTGACTGTTATTTTGTATATATTGATTGTTGTGCTATTATGTATATGTCTTAATGTGTGCATATGTATACATGTGTCTGTTGATTGTAGGTATATACATATTTTTATATTTGTATTTTTGTATTGGGGATTGTGGGAAACGGTATTTCGATCTCTCTGTCTCTACACACACTGAACGATTGACAATAAAGTTGACTTTGACTCATCCTCAGAAAACTGTCTCGTGGACACAAAACAAATGCAAAAAATAGCCGAGATGCTCCTACAAAAGCTTGACTTGCATTTCTGAATATACTGTAGTGTGTTTCAGACTATGATGTTTGCATATCTTATAAGAGTTTGGTACAAGAAACAACTTCTTTCTTGCAGCATCTCTGCAGAAATCTTCACCCTCTTGATCTCAAACCTCAGAAGACTGTCACGTGGACACAAAACAAATAGCCGGGATGCACGGCAGAACACACTGTGATACTATGGGAATGAAGACGGTGCCACACCCTCATGCCAGCGCTCCAGATGTCATGGGAACCGGGAACAGCTGGTCTGCGTGTGAAAGCTGCTCCATCTGCAGAAACACAATCCCTCTGTGAACCCAGCCGAGGATTAGGCACTTTTGATAAGGTCCTCAAGACATTTCTATCACCAAAACACATCTGTGGAGCCGGCAACTCCAGGAACTGCTTACTATGTGTTGTGTGCATTTGTAAAAGTTGCAGAAGTGTGTGTTTTATTATCAGGGAAGTTTAATTCAACATAGAAAAAGGGATCAGGCAAGGCAAGCACTTTTCAACACAACATGCTTTACAAAAATGAAAGACATTAAGAGCATAAAACACCTTAGAAACATTAAAACGCAAAGATAGTAAAACACGAATAAAAGTTACAGTGCAGTGTGACATGTGAATAGTTCAATTAAGATGATCTGAATTTGGGACTGTCACTCGTCAGCAGGGGCGGACTGGCCATCGGGACGTTCGGGACGAATCCCTATGGGCCGGTACTGAAGTGGGCCGGTCGGACGATGTGGGCCGCTCGGCACCCCCCCGTCGAGCAAATCATCCACTAGACGTTTTTCGCGTCTAGTGGATGATTTGCTTATCTTTGTAGACCATTTTTTAATTTCTTTCTATTTTTTCACCATATTTGTTGTTTTGTCTCAAAGTGTGGACATGTTGCACCTCTTATTCTCTTGGGTTTCTTTTTGAGGGCCATTTGCTCGTTTTATGATAAGCATTTTGTGTTTAATAAATAAGAAGCACGAGGAGAGTTGTGGTCTGTCTGAGGTCACGGTGGTTTAGAGAGAAAGGGGGAGGAGAAATGTTCGGCACAGATGCCAAGTGCGAGACCCTTAAATGAGAGGGGAGATCAGAGGCATGTTTCACATTTAGAGAGAGCTGACATTTCTGCGAGACCTCAGTTCTGTTGGTGGAGTCTCGTTGCTTTTGTCAAGAGGTGACCAGCAGTTGCTTCCTATCCTGGTGTTTCCTCCTCTCTCAAAGCTGAGAGTCCTTCAGAGTAAAAGGTGATGTCCACCGGCTCCGCTGCGAGTGATGCTGAGGATTATGTGACGAGGAGGAGGAAGATCTGCAGGTTTTCAGACGAGGAGGACGAGAGGAGGATGAAGAGCAAAGTGTCCAAAGGGCAGAAGGACGAGAAGCCAGAGGTAGTGGAGTACAAATACTTCGTTACTGTACTTAAGTACCTTTTTCTGGTATCAGTACTTTTTTTTCTGAGTGTGTACTGACCTTCAATGTGATGTTTCTTAAACAGTAAAGTACTTTTACTCGAGTACTGTATACAATCTTTAGGTACTGTACTTCAGTAATACTACTTCCTGTAACTTTATACTTCTAATCCACTACAATTAAGGAGTATATATTGTCCTTTTATAACTTTAGTTATCAGGAACTTTGCAGATTCAGATCAAAAGTGCCAGACATAATTACAGAATAAATGATCATGTATTAAATTGGATAAAGATAGAATTTCACTGATGTTTTTGTGAAATCTACCAACTATTAAGAATCGCTTCTCCTTCAGTAGCTGCACAATCTAAGTGATGAACACAGTGATGCATCAATGATTATAATCCACTAATATGTTTTCCAAAATGGGCCAAAACGTTGTCATGTTGCCGTTGTTCAGCATGGAAACATTCATTAGCTAACAATGACATTATTGTTCTATTAATATAAAGGGAGGTCAGGTACTCTTTAAAACAGCTGCTAGTTATGGGTACTTGGTCTCCTATGTTCATGTCTCTTCTACATCAACATGTGTCCCCTCTTCTTCATGTCTCTTCTACATCATCATGTGTCCCCTCTTCTTCATGTCTCTTCTACATCAACATGTGTCCCCTCTTCTTCATGTCTCTTCTACATCAACATGTGTCCCCTCTTCTTCATGTCTCTTCTACATCAACATGTGTCCCCTCTTCTTCATGTCTCTTCTACATCATCATGTGTCCCCTCTTCTTCATGTCTCTTCTACATCACCATGTGTCCCCTCTTCTTCATGTCTCTTCTACATCAACATGTGTCCCCTCTTCTTCATGTCTCTTCTACATCAACATGTGTCCCCTCTTCTTCATGTCTCCTCTACATCAACATGTGTCCCCTCTTCTTCATGTCTCTTCTTCATCAACATGTGTCCCCTCTTCTTCATGTCTCTTCTACATCAACATGTGTCCCCTCTTCTTCATGTCTCCTCTACATCAACATGTGTCCCCTCTTCTTCATGTCTCTTCTACATCAACATGTGTCCCCTCTTCTTCATGTCTCTTCTTCATCAACATGTGTCCCCTCTTCTTCATGTCTCTTCTACATCAACATGTGTCCCCTCTTCTTCATGTCTCTTCTTCATCAACATGTGTCCCCTCTTCTTCATGTCTCTTCTACATCAACATGTGTCCCCTCTTCTTCATGTCTCTTCTACATCAACATGTGTCCCCTCTTCTTCATGTCTCTTCTACATCAACATGTGTCCCCTCTTCTTCATGTCTCTTCTACATCAACATGTGTCCCCTCTTCTTCATGTCTCTTCTACATCAACATGTGTCCCCTCTTCTTCATGTCTCTTCTTCATCAACATGTGTCCCCTCTTCTTCATGTCTCTTCTACATCAACATGTGTCCCCTCTTCTTCATGTCTCTTCTACATCAACATGTGTCCCCTCTTCTTCATGTCTCTTCTACACCAACATGTGTCCCCTCTTCTTCATGTCTCTTCTACATCAACATGTGTCCCCTCTTCTTCATGTCTCTTCTACATCAACATGTGTCCCCTCTTCTTCATGTCTCTTCTACATCAACATGTGTCCCCTCTTCTTCATGTCTCTTCTACATCAACATGTGTCCCCTCTTCTTCATGTCTCTTCTACATCAACATGTGTCCCCTCTTCTTCATGTCTCTTCTACATCAACATGTGTCCCCTCTTCTTCATGTCTCTTCTACATCAACATGTGTCCCCTCTTCTTCATGTCTCTTCTACATCAACATGTGTCCCCTCTTCTTCATGTCTCTTCTTCATCAACATGTGTCCCCTCTGTGTAAAGAGACTCTGAAAGTTTCAGGAACAAAGATTCTCTCTCTTTTTCTCCTGATCCATTTCTATAAAAACCTGTCTGAAAATGAGCTGATCAGATTTTGGCCAATTTATGATGTCATAACGATGTTTTGTCTTGTGTAACCATTAGCCAATCACCAACCAAGGTAACCCCCCCCCCCCCCCTTATCACCTGAATCTCCTCCTAGAGCACCATTGAGTTCTTTGTAACCAAATCTCTCTCAGAGGGGCGTGGGGAGGGGCTCCTTATTTTCATCTAAAGTAACAGACAGAGAATCAGCACTTTGGAAACAGGGCTGAAACAGAGGGGATTATGGGATGCTGCAATTATCTGTTTGGTGTTTCAGCCAATCAGAGACAGGCTCTGTATATATCTGAGACCTGTGATATATTGATGAAAAACAGTTTAATAGGGGACCTTTAAATACATTTCGAAGCCCATACTTCTTTATTTTTACTTGAGTAAAGAAGTTTAGTCAGTACTTTTACCAGAGTATTTTTAAACATGAGTATCTGTACTTCTACTTGAGTAAAGGATGTGTGTACTTTTGCAGACTCAGAGGAACGCAGCTAACGCCAGAGAGAGGTCCAGGATGAGGGTCCTGAGCAAAGCGTTCTCCAGACTGAAGACCAGCCTCCCGTGGGTCCCAGCTGACACTAAGCTCTCCAAACTGGACACTCTGCGCCTCGCCTCGAGCTACATCTCTCACCTGAGGCAGATTCTGCAGGAGGACCGGCTCCAGAGCTGCGGACATCCTGTCAACCTGGTACTGCTCACAAGGTCACATACTGACACTAGATTAAAGAGATGCAAATGCAATTCAAAGGTTGTATTGGCATCTGCACATACAGGAAGCTACAGTGTAGACATGGCAATGATCTAAGTACAGTAAGGTACATTTACTCAAATACTTTATAGAGTACAATCTTTATTGTGAACAGATCAGATACTGACACTAGATTAAAGTGTTTTAATCATCCGTAGCATTTTATAGTGACCTTTAATGTGATGTTTCTTCGACAGTAGTGTACAGTAACTAAGTACATTTACTCAAGTACTATATAGAGTACAATCTTTAGGTACTTTACTTGCAACGTTATACTTCTAATCCACTACAATTAAGGAGTATATATTGTCAGTATTACTTTTATTTTATGACTTTAGTTATAAGAAACTTTGCAGATTCAGATCAAAAGTGCCAAACATAATTACAGAATAAATTATGATGTATTAAATTGGATAAAGACAGAATTGCATCGATTTATTTGTGATATCTACCAACTATTAAGCATGCTTCGCAAAGAAAAGCTTCTCCTTCACTACGTAGCTGCACTAAGTGATACACACAGTGAAGCATTAATGATTATAATCCACTAATAATATATATGTTAATACAGAAATGCATAAAGAGTACTTTTACTTTGATGGTTATATTGTGCTTTTAATGCATGACTTTGACTTGTAACAGAGTCTTTCTGCACTGGGGTTTTACTGCTGAGTGAGGATGTGAGGTGTTGCATAATTACAGAATAGATTATGATGCATTAAATTGGATGGAGATATAATTGCGTGGATGCATTTGTGACAATCAAGCATGCATAGTAAACAAAAGCCTCTCATTTAATAGCTTCAACATTAATGTGATTACAACACATCAACACTACATCATAATGATTATATTCAACAACAGGCTGTTGTGCATATTGAGTACTTTTAACTTGATGCTTATGGTTTTGTGCTTTTAATGCATGACTTTGACTTCAGTCTTTCTGCTGAAGTGAAGATGTGTTCATCCTGTCGTTTTTCTCTCTAACAGACATGGCCGTTCCTGATTGGTCGATCAGACGACAGTCCGGATGTCCCGCCCTCTGTCAGACTCTGTGGAGCGACAGCATAGATCCAGCTGTGCAGACAAACATGAAAACATCTGTCCTCTGTCCATCATCGTGCTGCAGACAATGTGACAGTGTTGATCTCTAACTGTCTGCAAATGTCCTAAAAAAAGACTTTGAATTTTTGGTCAAACTCGTCCTCTAACACGCCGAGTGTGTTTTACAGCCAGTAAGGACAATTAAAAGTGTGTTTTCAGATATAGATTCTTGTGTGCATGTACAAAGGTTGTGTGTGTGTGTTTACACTGTGTGTAAAATATTTTATATCGGGTTTAAGCTCTGGATTTTCTGGACAAAGAGATGTCTTTAAATGTCTTGTTTTGTCGAGTCCAAAACCAACAGATATTCATACTTTCCTGATGTTTCTAGTTTGCTCCTTTGACTGTATTTTCATCACTGAGCTGCAATGTGCAGCTGGATTCTTTAAAACTGACAGTATTTATTGTGTTTGTGAGATGTTTGCATTACAGATAAAGTTTTATAACTCATGGTTGTCTTCTCTCTTGAGTTAAATCACATCCAAAGTCTCATTATGATTTCACTTTTTCTTGAATTTCTTCAAACACAGGTTGTTAGCAAATCCATGACTCTTGATGGTCTACTTATTGAGTCAGGTTAATCTAGTGGCGTCTGCAGCAGATAAAAAGTCCATTATCTGATTCATTTGTGCGTGCAACTTAACTCCAAGTGTGAAATGTGGAAAGGAATATATCAAAACAACCCATAAGAAACTTGTAAACAGTCACAAAACAACATTTCTGGATTTAAAAAACCTCTTTTATTCACTTTAACTGTAAAATACACACCATCATGATGTGCACCCCCCTCAAAAAACTCATATATCAGTAGCACCAACACAAGTTTATAAAGTTTGTAGTTTTTCCGAAGTATTCAGAGCAGATTTATGTATTCCAGTCTGCAGCCGCCGCTCTCTGGAGACGCTGAGCCGTGTCGTCTGACGGCAAGCAGTCGTTTCAGTCAAAACTAAAAAACTTCACACGGCATTTGTCAGAGAGAAGCAGAAGTACACACACACACACACACACACACACACACACACACACACACACACACACACACACACACACACACACACACACACACACACACACACACACACACACACACACACACACACACACACACACACACACACACACACACACACACACACACACACACACACACACACACACACACACACAGTCATAAAACATCCACACTTAGCAGAGAATAATGGATGACAGTGATCTCTTGATCTGGAGTCCTTTTATTCTGTTAAACCCCGAAACGATGTGCGTACAGATGGATGGAGGAGGAGGAGGAGGAGGAGGAGGAGGGGTTGTCATCAAGTCTGTGTGCAGTCGCAGCTGTCCGAGTTTCCCAGAAGTCTGAGCTGCTCTCTGGGGAGAAACCAGGCTAATGAGCCGCCTTCTCACACTCAGCTGGTCCTCCTTTCTACTCCTCTCTGTTCCTCCTATCAGCACTTTACTCCACTATTTATTTTTCAGACGACTTTTTACTTTGACTTCTTACATTTTGAACACAAATACCTGTACTTTCTACTTCTTACATGTTGAACCCAAATACCTGTACTTTCTACTTCTTACATGTTGAACACAAATACCTGTACTTTCTACTTCTTACATTTTGAACACAAATACCTGTACTTTCTACTTCTTACATTTTGAACTCAAATACCTGTACTTTCTACTTCTTACATGTTGAACACAAATACCTGTACTTTCTACTTCTTACATGTTGAACCCAAATACCTGTACTTTCTACTTCTTACATGTTGAACTCAAATACCTGTACTTTCTACTTCTTACATGTTGAACACAAATACCTGTACTTTCTACTTCTCACATTTTCCAAACAGGCTGGTTCCTTTAGTTTGAATGTGTGTTTGGTGGCGTGATCATTATTATTGAGAGTCATTGCGTGCCTATTGATTTGAACACGATCCGTGTATCCATCATTTCCTGGTCTTCTCTAAAGAAGAGGGACCAATGAAAACGTTGTCATGTTGCCGTTGTTCAGCATGGAAACATTCATTAGCTAACAATGACATTATTGTTCTATTAATATAAAGGGAGGTCAGGTACTCTTTAAAACAGCTGCTAGTTATGGGTACTTTTTACTGAAGTACATTTCAAAGCCTCTTTACTTTGACTTGAGTAAAGAAGTTTAGTCAGTACTTCTACTTTCACCAGAGTACTTTTAAACACGAGTATATGTACTTCTACTTGAGTACAGGATGTGTGTACTTCTACCATCTCTGCCTTTCTGCTCCATCACATTGGGAACTTGTAAATGTCTGACGTGCATCCTGGCTGCACTGGATATGAGGATCCATTAATCCCCTCACGGCACGTCGACACACTGATGATGTTTGGGGCGGGAAAACTTCTCTATTTCACAAATGAAACAAAAGAGAGTTTGTGCCAATGTATGGAAACCTGCAGGAGCAACAAGGACTGGGATTAAGAAATGCTGCTGTTGCATGTTTAAATGAAGCTCATGCAGTCTGTAATGTGACATGAGTGGCATCTAGTGGAGAGGAAGTGAAGAGGGGAACCATGCACCTCCTCACACTCATTTCAAACCTGAAGAAGTCAGGCTAGCATGCACTTACTTCTCATAAAGTCACTTTGCATAGTGCATATCAAGTCTAAGAATGATACTCTTATGTTGAAAGTAATTTCCGTGTATTGATAATATGTATTCTAACATCCTTCCTGTGCACTGCTTATTGTGCATCACTCAGTAACTTTGCAAAGTGTTAACCCTTCGAAACACGAAGTGAGAGTCCTAAAAGTTATGCATTATAAGCACTTTTTAAATGTTAAAATTGATGTTTTAAGGCTAGACACATCCATTCATTTATTGTATGCACTGGTTAAGATCTTAAGTTTACTTTGCATCCATTAAAGTCTTCTGTGAGGCCAGTGGAAAGAAAACAACCAATATATATATATATATATATATTATATCTCCATGTATGTGTTTCCTAAAGTCACCCTGTCCCTGTAGTGTGTTTACAGATATTTAAATGATAGCAGTGAAGCAATGTTTGTCCTGTTACAGTTCAAGATCTTCTGTTTAAATAAAGCATGACAAATACTTTGAGAGACAAAAGGTGGAGACATTGGAGGACACTTTAAGAAGTCTCAGTAGGAACCACACAGGTGTCAGTCATGACATTAACGAGGACACACACACACACACACACACACACACACACACACACACACACACCTGAATCTAACCTCGTTAACCTGATCACTGACACCTGTGCAGCTGCAGAGGAGAAACCCAGAGATCTCTGCAGAGTTACAAAACAGAAAACACACTTTTGAGGTTTAGAACAAGACAAAAAACTGTTGATTTGAAGAAATAGCATTAAAAACCAGATTTTCAAATGTATAATTAATGCAATACAGTTCCTCTCTCTGCTTCCTTTGCATATCTAGCTGTAAATATAAACTGGCATGTGTCTAATCTGGATTTAACATGCAGTGCAGTATCATGTTGTCCAGCAGAGGTCAGCATCTCCTCACTAATGCATGCTTTCTTTGTACACATGAAGAATTGGGAAACTTCCTGGCACGCATTACTTACTTTTCCCTCTTTGCATAATAACCAAACATCAAACGTTCAATTCACTTTTAAACAAACACATGTGCATGTAAATTAGAGAGGAACAAAGTGTCCTTTTTGTGCTTCCCTCACAGGAATATTGTCACGTTAAATCACCATTATTTATCTTTTTCGAGCTGCGTTTCATTCAGGCAGAACACTTTGATATCAAATTGCAGCATCAGCACAATCCAACGTTTGTAGAAGAATTTCCATGAACAGGAAGGAGCTGTCGGTCCAAAGCCAACATTCAGAGGCAGCTCTAAGTTTAGCTGTAGTTTGTTATTCAGAATCACTCACTCTCTCACTAATGAGGAAGGGGAGATGTAAATCCTGAAGTATTTCAATCACTCCTCTCCTCACAGGAGCGTAGTTCCTCTGTTGCCCCTTCACCCTGAACTGACATCCTGGAAGAGACATTTAAGGAAACAGTTTTTGTAGTTTTTCTGTCAAAAAGGAGTGAAATGACCCAGAGGTTTCTAAGTGTCATCCATGATAAGAGCTGTTTGATCCTCTATAGGAAAGGAGCTTCAATGCTTCCTTTATTATCTCTTTTAGGATACACTTGGTCATCATTTAGGAAAGGAAAGGAGATAAATCTAACCCACAATTCCTCCCAAAGACACACTGTTCTTATAAAGCATGTTATATCTTGTGCCACCACTTTTTGTCTAGGAGGCACTTCACACTTGACATAAAAGGAGCCGAAAATGTGAATTGAGTGGCGATTTATTATTAGATTTTTCCTTCCATACTTACATCTGCTGTTATCCATGGGCAACCTTGAATGAAACTTTAAAATACAAATTACGTTTTCACCTTGATCATAGAGCTAGAGAAGGTGGTGGACATTTTGTAGCAGATGCTTACTTTAAAATAATATGCAAGCCTTTTGGCAAATCAATTGTGCTTGGAAGGGTCATGCTGTAGTAAACTTTGAATACTTCAGAAGTCTCTTCACAGGAGTTCTTCATACACTTATGTTCCAACACCACATACTGTACGGTATGAAGAGGTGCTCCTGAGTTTAAACAAATATGTATTGAAAGTAACATGTAGCTAGTTGCATGTAATGGCATTGTGTATTTAAATGTAGTTGTGTTTGGGTTATAAAGTCTTCTAAATCACTGTAGTGAAGTTTACACTGACTGATGTGTGTGTGTGTGTGTGTGTGTGTGTGTGTGTGTGTGTGTGTGTGTGTGTGTGTGTGTGTGTGTGTGTGTGTGTGTGTGTGTGTGTGTGTGTGTGTGTGTGTGATTGGGTTACAGTGAGATACCCTCTCTGGCCTCGATACACGTGTCCTGATATTTGTGTTTGTTTCACATGGAGCCTCCCTGTCTCCCTCACACACAGATTAACTCCA